GGCTTACGGCCCCGCTCGAAGCCGTACGCGAGACACGGAAGAAACAAAAGGGTCCGTCGTTGTCGCTCGGGTATTCTTTCTTTGTGACAATGGGGCAACCCCCGCACGAGCCGCGGCCGCTCGTTTGAAGTCAAGCCAACAAATTATGCGTGCCGCCATCAAAAGACCGTAGACGCGGACTCGTACGCTCGGCCCGATCGTGATTTCGCAATGGAGACAGAAAAAAAAAGAAGAAAAAAAGAAAGGAAGTGTTGTATGACGCGTCAGGCTATGGAAAGAAAGAATGGCCATCGGCGATATCGATGGAAAGGCTGTCGCGCAGCGACCTCGTCCGATGCGAGCGCCCGGCTAATGCGCTGGACGCGACACACTCGTACAAAGAGCAGGGTGTTCGCCGTAACCAGAGAAGTGTTTTCGAGTCATGCTCGCTTTATACATATATGTAGTGTGTAAGCTTCCAACATGTGCGTAAGCAGTTTTCTTTCGTCTTTTTTTTTGCATGAGCGATGTTACGGAGTTATTAAAGTCTCCCAAGTTGAAGCACTGCTACGAAACTTTCAGGAAAAAAAAAAAAAAAACACGTCTCAGATCACGGGGTCGGAAGCTTCTCGAGGTGACATGACGACACCAGAAATGAAGCCAGAAGTGTGGAGGGACATGCCCAGAACAATGACCCAAACCACAACGGTTTCAGACACCGCTGGGGGCGAGTCCCTCCACACTCCTGGCTTCAACCCTGGTGGCATCACGTCGCCTCCAGAGGCTCTCTGTTTCCATGCTGTCTGTAGACTGTCTTTTGCATGATGGGTATTAGCCATGGGGCCGAGGGTTAGTGTGGAGCTCTCGTGTTGCCTACAGTTTTAAATGAAGCTTATTCTTGACCCGCCATTGTTATTGTTAATCGTTTGCTTTAGTAGGAGATTACGCTTAATCCGCCGTTTTTACTAAAATTTATGCTTCTCGCACCGTTTAGATTGTAAGTTACATGCGTAGATTAGGAATGACATTGACCGAGCAAGCCTCATGGTTTATTCATTGTCGGGTGTCTCACGCTCTCTGCAGGCATTCCGCATAATAAAAAAGAGCGTATTTACGTATATTTTTTTTTTATGTACCGCATCCTCGCATCGCCTAGAAGCCTGGAGCTACGCCAAAAGTTGTAACCCTAGCAAAGGTAACCCTAGCAAAGGTAAGCAAAGGCAATATGGACTGTAAGATTTCCAGTCCATATTGCTACGCGAACGAAAAGTTGGAAACGATATAGTTTTCATCGTAGTTACCTTCGGAGATCTGCATCACGAGCAGTAACGTCTGTCGTCAGTAAGATATGACATCCAGCTTTAATTTCTAATTTTCTTCTAAATTTTGCTTGACTCATTTTTTTTCGTTTTAGAAATATGTGGTAGGCTATATTGGATGAAATGAGGAGTTTAAACTTCCTGCAAATTGTTTCTAAATTAAGAGGTCGGGAAAACTTCATAAACGTTTATGTATGAAGACACACGTAGTGTCAAGTTCCGCCGTAGCTGACACCCCGTCCAAGTCGGCTCCTTGCGTGGAGTGTGCCTACTTCATTTTTGAGACGCCTTTGACAGACGTTCTTCCAAAGGATAAATAAATAAAATATAAAAAAAAGACAGGCTCGTAAAGAAAGTCTAGAACGAAACAACAACTTGACATCAAGGCGAAGCCACCGTACGTCGCTGAAAAAAACAAACAAAAAAGAACAACGCTTTGAAGTAGCGCCAATCACTCGCCAGCAAGCGTCCATAAACCCGTCTCCCGCGGAGCCTACGCACGTTGCTGATCACACAGCTCGGAAATAAATTTGTCAAAGAAGAAAACGTAAAAAAAAACAAAAAAAAAAAAACCGCAAAATGAACGGAAGTCCCCTTGGTGAGAGTCATGGCGTCGCCGTTGTGGACACAATGGAAGCTTCCCACGCACCACAACACTCCAGGACTGGATTTGGCCGCCGAGACCTTGCGCTCGGCCATCTTATGGGAATCTGGTCGAAGTTATACATTAGCCGAAGTCCTTTCCGAAAGCCCTAAAGCAACGCTGCTCATGCTTATATTAAAAAAAAAAAAAGCATTATGTATTACGCAGGCGTTTGCGGACACGCCTCAAACATATTTGAACGATGTTTGCTATGTGCGTGGCTCGAACTGTACGACGCATGTGTCAGGACGGTCTTGCAAGGAAGAAACACTGCGGATTGCTTTTTCCATGAGGCGTCGAGCAGTGCATGGCCTAACGGCGCTACCGTCAAGGTGATTCCAAATACTCGAATCATGTATATAACCTCACGAAGAAAAAAAAAGTGAAAAGAATGCTTTTAATTTTGATACTAGCTGTTCGATCCGGGACCGTTGGGACGTGTCTCCTGTTGCGTCGCACGAAAGGACTCGACGTGCGAGCCTGTTTCTGTCTGAAGACCTCATGCGCACGTCTCTGAATTCCCGAGCAGAAGCAGCCGGAGGTCGACCGCTTCGACGGCGCGCCTCAGAGCAGCGACACTTGTTCGAATCATTGTTGCCGGCTCTCCGAAGCCTCGCTCTCAAATCGCAGGGAACGCTTTTCCGCCCTCCAGAAATGTTTGAAAGCAGTTGGCGACAAAGCGGACCAGTATACCGCCCGAGTTTTGCTGACACTGCGGCATCTAAATCATAACGATTACCAGTTGCGACCGCTCTGCACTGAACACCAAAATAAGGGGGGTTGAGCGCAGTGAAAATTGGGGAATCGGGTGCCGATCACACGGCATGGGATTGGCTGCGACGGCTCTGCAGACGTTGGTTAAACGGAGTATAGAACTTTCCCAATAACTAATGTGCCAAACAACTAAAAAAATTGTTCGGGAACCTTTTTTGACGCTCCGGTGTCCTCCCAGGGCCAAGAAACAAACGCGTTCCTCAACAAGCGCTACCGCCTGCTCAAAAACCATATCCGCGTGAGGTAAAATCCTTTGCGCATGAGCATCGCAGACAGCAGCGTTACCGTAGTGGCGCGTCATTAGAGGGTTGAGTTGGTGTTGAGCAGAAATCTTCGAAGTAGTCGCCAGACTTCAAATTAAAACAGCCTTCTGATTGGTTGGTAGACCTGCGAAACATAGACCTTTTGCTGCGTCTTCACGCCGAAGATTGCAAACAGAAGAGGATGCGGTAGAAAGACTTCGCACTGGTGGATGACATTCTACTAACTTGCTCCGGTGGGCAGTTTTACTCGAGCGATGGATAGGTATGAGATGTAGACAGGGCGAACGATTGGGCTCCTTCCACGGGTCCTGGTTAAAGGAGCCATGAAATGAGTTTTGGTCTGGGACCCCAGGGACGAAATTTGAAGGCCGAAAATAATCTCGGGAGAAGGGGAAAAAACAAACACAAATCTCCAAATCCCAGGGTCTATCAGCAGGCATTCCGTGTGATGACTATGCTCAAAGGTTTACTGTTTCCCTTTTCCGGGGATTATTTTTGTCATTCCTATCCAGCTCAATTGCACCTTTGGATTATTTGCATTATCATTTGAATGCGGCTCATGGATTGACCCCGAGCATCGCGTGAACACTCGATTTGGGCTCGTGATAATTGATAGTTCAAACGAGCATTCGGGTGGCTCGTGTCCAATCCTGGCAATGATGACAATAGCCGGACTCTAACAATGTCTGCAAATCAGCGCGTGCCCTGTGCTTTGCCATCCTCAGCGAGTGGCTAGGATTAACATTGGCGGCATGTATTCGGCTCCAGATCATGTGAGCGCTCGTTCTGGCTGCGAGTTGAAGGTGTAAACGCTGGTCGTATTTTTGTTTTGGTTTCTGCGACGTTTATTGCGTGGGGAGAAAAACGAATGCGTGTTTCATTGGTCATAAGCGTCAGGGATTCGTCTTAAGTGGTATTTGCGCAAAGTACGAAAAATTGGTTTAAGCTCGTCAGACGTACGCGAGAAAGTACGCATTGAAAAAAAAATATATATAAAAAAACGTATATAAAGGGAGTTGGGCATAATGAATAATTCAGCGCTATAGCTAATCCTTTTTGGCGACTCTGCGGAAGTGTTCTGCCGTCAAGCCATTCTTGGCTGAGCTGTTTTTCTTGTGTTTTTTTATTACTGCGCGCGCATGAGCAATAGACTTTTTTATTATCTCAGTGGTCTTTTTGAAACAGTAAGCCTCTGAGTAGTCATTAGATGTAATGCGTATTGTTGGACACTTCAGCACATATTTCTTCAATGACCCCCACAGGACTTGTAGGATGAGGTCCAGAACTGCACCAGCAACAACGGGTGATCTCGTTGGCTGTAGGCCTTGCTTAATAGCGCGTAGGGTTGTCGTATTTGCCGAGAAGCACACGCCAAAGATTGCTGGCATGTATCGAAGGGGGGAAAAGAAGCAACAACGCTCTCGCTGCTCTGTTTTGACTAATTTTAGGACGTGAGTAACGTAAACGCGATGTGGGTTTTAAACGGATGCCTCAAGTTATACTCTAGTTTTCTTTTATTTAACCTCGGTTCTACGGTCCACTGGTTGATTCTTTTCAACTAAAAGGGAGTGCTTTTAAAAACACGTTACAAAAAAAAAAAATATATTTCAAGACGAGTAAGGGATTTAAACCTGATCGTTTTGGGGCGCCTGATGGAGCAGATGTTTGTCGGTTACAGTTATGAGTATGACCATGAACTGTTATGGGTCCACAGTTGAGTTTTGCAGGATAGGTATTTTTAGAAATGTCTTCTTTAAGTGAAATATAACAAAACACAATATTTTCAACCAAGGAAAATTTCCAGCCTCTTTCACTTTGCCGTCATGATTGTGGCAAAGAAAAAATATTTCGCGTAAGAACGGATTTACGTCAGTATAAAAATTAGAAAAGGATTATGAGGTCGGATTTCAATTACTTGGTTCATGCAGAAACGATGCTGTTAAATACGAAAAACGGGCGTACGAACGTACGTAAAGAAATCAAGAGCACAGTTGACATGGCTCCCTTGTGACGGGAACTCACCTTTCCGAGAAATCCAGTGATCCCCGTGAGAAAGACGCTTTTGCCGGCGAAGAATTCGGCTATGTCCGTGGTCTCTTCTAACTTGTGCCCCGACATGTTGGTGGACTCTTTTCTTTTTCTCGTTTTTTTTTTTCGTTCCCGGTTTCGTTCGATGATGCGCGCGGTCGCCCTGGATCCTCCCGGAGTGATCGACGGCACTGACAAACAAGCACACCAGACGAACGACCAGCACTCGCAATGTCCCAAACGTCAGTGAAGAAGATGGGCGCCGGTACTTGGTTTCGTCCTTTATAAAGGAAGGGGGGAAGACCCTGTACCACGTGATCCGGAAGGAGCCAATCGTCGCGTGCCGAGTGATCGGCGTCACACTTTCGCTCTCGCACCCCGCCGTCGAAGACTCTACCGACACTCTCTACCTGCCGCCCCGACCGATCCCGAGGATCCGAGAGAGCGGTGACGTTTCGGCGCGTATTTTGGCCTCGAGACACCTCCTCTTCTCTCTCTCTCTCTCGGGCATTTCTTGTTTTCGTTTCTTTCTTTTCCCCTTTCGCTTTTCAGGTAGTGAACGAAGCCGAAGGTAGGGCGGGTAGGACGGGAATCGGAAGGCGCGCGTGCCAGCGCGTGCGTGCATTGCTCGCTCGCCCGCCCGCGAAGGAGCTGCGTGTGATGTAAGCGCCCCATCAACTCGACCGTCGGGCGGAATCCATTGAAGCGTGACGAAAAAGAAAGAAAAAAAGATTGTTGACGAAATCGCCGCGCAGATGGTGATTGATGTGCGATGGCATTTATAGTACTCACGTGACGTCACTTCCTCTACTCCCGCCTGCTGGCCGCCATTGCCAGGTACTGAGAAGCAGACGCTGCCCGTGCGCCGCCCGACTTCTACTTCGCTACAGAATTTGTATCGCCCGTACAGCGTGATGGCGAAAGCCATTCGCCATGAGTTCTGCCCTTCCTACTTCGAACGTCTTGTCGGCCCCACACGGGCTCGGTGCGAGTCTAAAGTGAAGATGTGTGACGGCGTCGATCCGTACACGCTACGCGTCGGCGCGGGCGCCACTCCAGACGCGGACGTGCTGCCAGCCACGACGCAGGTGCGCATAATTAACAAGCTGGTTTCGTCGACGAACTGCGTGTCGCTGCAACAGATGGAGGACTGCAAGGCCCTGGATGGCCATAACTATTTCACGAGTGCATGGGCAAAGAGCCTGACAGCGTCTCCCATCGAGGCGTATCGTCGAACTGAGCGAGGCGAGTTGACAGGCGATAAAACGAGCGTCTTTATGGCAGCCGAAGAGCCGAAGGTTTGCCCGCACACGAAGATATGTGCCCGTACTCGTCGCATTAGAATTCGCAGCATCTTAGCTGGTTAAACTCGGCGCCGCCGTCGTAACACCACCGACACAAGTGTGCTGCAAACACTACACAATTACAGAAACGCTGCGAGAAAGGTAAAAGCACATCCCTGCAGCGTGACACTACCATGCAGACACCAAACACTGCCTCAGCCGCTACGGCAATCCGCACAGGGTGCGAACAAAAGCATCCAGCAATCCACGTACAGTTGGCCAACCTATTTCTTACCGGCAATGAAGTGACGACGTTGTGAAGGTAATAAAGTGACGTAATGAAGTGACGACGTAAGAACCTGAACACAAACGTTGTTCAGGTTCTTATTTTCGACGTATGCGAGCAAGCCAGAGGCTTCGGCGTTTCTCCGACACACGTTCACACAGTCGCATTATCAGCTTTGGCAAACGGTGCAGTCCTACATTTAGCTCCGTGTTACTCCGCTGTGCAGAGGACTTGCTTCTGCTTCGGCAGCCGAGCATGGCGCACATCGGCATGACTGCCCCATTGCGACCGCGACCGTACACCGGAAGAAAGGAACGTGCACCGTGTGCGCCGCAACCGCCGTAGCGACGCAGCCGACGCAGCAGCGGCCTACGTTGCCTGCGCCGATCCCGAAACCGAAACTATGTCAGCACCTGGTAATGGCGCTGACATATCCCACAAGCCCCGGCTATGACGTCCGGGAGAGCTGTGTATAGTGCTAGTGCCACTCGGGGAACCCTTTTTTTTTTAATACGTATATTTGCTCGAAAATAATACAATTTTAGAACACAAAACTTATAAAGTTTTGTGTTCTTTCAAAACGATCATCAATATTAATGAAGTTTCTTTAGTTTTGTGTTCAGACACAGAAACAAAGGATTAAAGCTTTTTTTTATTGCACAGATTTAGGCACACTAATTTCTTTATAAGAATACAGTGCAATAGCTCATTTTGCTTCACATGAAGTGTAGGCTGCTGATAACTACCCAAAAGCTCTGAACACACACACACACGCACACACACACACACACACACACACACACACACACACACACACACACACACACACACACACACACACACACACACACACACACACACATATATATATATATGTATATATTATGACGGAAAGTACGTATATTTATAGTTTGTTACATTAACATTAAACTAAATCGAACAGGAAGACCGATGCGGTACTGCGTAAATTTGCTTTGCGTTAAGCTGGATAGTTTTACTCGGCAATCGACTTGTGGCCGAGAAACTGGGTTTCGAACTCGCCACAGCGTAGCTAGCCATACTCAACTCTTGCCGCAAATAGCGGCTTTGAACGCGTGGATGTTGCTCCAAAAGCGATTTCTCTGCCCATGAAGCATCGTTTCCAGCTGGGGGAATACCCCCTTTAGAGAGGTTAATCCATGACGATTATTACAACCGCACACAAACAACGCAAAAAAAAAAAAATAAAAAATAAAAAAAAAAAACTAGATAGAAAAACGCGTTCTTTGTGCCATTCTATGACGTCCTTTGCGGGGAAGCGAACACATGAGTACCAGGAACCGCGACTGGGCGGGCTATTTTACTGTCTGTCGCAAAAAATTATGGCATGAACATTTGCTTTTAGAGCGCAACTCTTAAACGCCCGTTTCCGGCTTGAGCGGCGTCGCCGTCGGCGTGACCGCGCGTTGCATTATGGGACATTTCCCATAATGACGTCACGCGTGACGTCACGTGTGACGTAACGAGGGTCACGAGGAGGGGGAGGGAGGGGGAGGAAGGAGGAGGAGGGAAGAGGAGAAGGAGGAGAGGAAGAGTGGGAGGAGGGAGGAAAGGAGGAGGAGGTGCCAGCTACCCGTTCTGCAAGGGATATAACCATTCATAAATCACAGTTAGGCACGTATGAAGACGTTGTGTATCGTTTTCCAGGTGGCCGTCTACATGGATACGGGTCTGTTCTGTACTCATCGATCTCTGTGGCACGTCTGACGAAGTTGGTAAATCGAAATACCTCAAGAGAGAAGGAGAAGGAGGAGGAAAAGAGGCGAGGAGGAGGAGGGAAGGAGGAAAGGATACGGATGAAAAGGAGGGGCATACTCTCCTCTCCGTACCCTCCTCCTCCTCAAGAGCTGCGCTCTAATTCGACGTTACAGGAAGTTGTGAACGTACGTCCTTCATTCTTTTACTGAGGGATTCATTCCTTAGGTCATTGCGGATACCTTCTGACGAATGACATTACTGGCAAAAGCTCATCATACTAGGAACATTATTTATTGTTTAGGACCTTAGGTGATCACCGAGAAAATTCGTACCCACAAGACGTAGAGTATGCATGAGTGATCTGGGTAGTGTGCGGTTGTGTTGATGTTTGTACGTCTTGTGTGTAATCTTGCTGTATGTGATATGTTTAGCTGATGCTATCGTATATTGCGCTGCGTAAAGTGTGACGTCCATATGAGAGATGCTCGAAATGCAATACGTGCGCGAGCAAGCAAAAGTATTTTTGTGGCCAATGAACTAGGCGGTATCTAGCGCCACCCATCCTAGCTGCTTGCAACTACTCTGCTTGAACCTACAATCTGGTGGCGAGCTATTTAACCTTCTTTCACGCTTCGCGATATTTTCTGGTTGCCGTGCAATGTCGTGCGGTGAGCTAAATATGTTGCTTCGAATTAGCACTTTTGAAAGCGCTTTTTGGTTCCGCGAATGGTTTACCACTCTACCATGACGTGGGGTGTTGACGAAGGATTAATGGCTCGAGGAATAGCAAAGGTAAGATGTGAAGTGCGTGAAGTTGCCGGGTTTCGGTTATATCCGTCTAATGGTGCGTTCAAACTTGCGAATGGGCGGGCTGATGTGCGTCGGCAGTGAGCGGATTTTAGAGCCGGGCGACGGAAAATCCGGTCCGGTCTGGGACCCACGCATATCCAGATTTTCCGCCAGCGAAGAGATGATTTCGACACCCGGCTCTAAAAAAGACTTCACGCCGCCGGTGCGGACCCCCTGGAAATCCGCAAGTGTAAATGCACCCTAACCTCTGAGTGTTGACAGCGAGAGGAGTGAGTAACTGCGGTCGAAACTCAAATTTCCTTACCTGGGCGGGAAGCTGACTTCGTCAATCAATGCAGTGTGTGAAGACCTCGTGGTATGTTTTCATTTGCTGCACCCCTCGCTCCGAAAGCAGTACTGGCTTGCTCGCGCGGGTACGAAGCAGCTGACTGCTCTTCTGGGTTGCCAGTAGCCCGAGGTATTTACCTGTTCTTAATACTATACCAAGTGTTTTCGGTTGAATCCTGGCAACTTTCGGTGTTAAAACCAACAACTCACGCGGCGTCCTCGTTAAGCCTTATTGAGTTCGATTAGCTCGATTCGGGACCGCCATATTGAGATGCAGACGAGGGAGGAATTTGGCTTCCCTGCTTTCAGGGACGAGAGCTTCTCCCGTTCTGAAGGCACATAGGTGCAGACTTGTACCGTACGCATTACAAGTAATCAAATTACTTGTAGTCAATTACTTTTTGGAGTATTTTATAATCAGTTGATTACTTTTATTCAGCAGTAATCACAGGAATAGTCCGATTACTTTTTGAAGTAATAAAAATTACTTCTAATTGTCACTATTTTTCCACGAACACCCTTGCCCCCCCCCCGTACACACCTTTTTTTTCTGAAATGACAAAAATAAAATTTTTTTCGTTTTTCGAAAAGGAAAAAAGAAAGTTTTTTGCGGAGCTGTAGGAAACGAGGTCAACCCCTTTGCATGTACAGTACGGCATTAGTTAACGCGACTGCTCAAGAACCCATATTGAAAAAACAGCGCGAGTAACACACGGACAAGGACGAGAGAACACACAGGACGAGGCGCTGTTCTCCCCTCCTTGTCCGTGTGTTATTCGCGCTGCTTTTCAATATGGATTCACACCAACTAACCCAACTTTCCATTCTAGTACGCTCAAGGACCTCCCATGCTACGGGGAACCAGAATCGAGACGCCAAGATGACTGCGTGCTCTTCCCTGACATAAATTTCTTCAACTTTTCTGTGCCGGGGACGACTAATGGCAGTGGAGAACTGCCCCCGGTACTTGACTTCCCAGGACAATACAACAGACCTCTTGAAAAACTTCCCTCGCCTTCAAAAAGTGTTCCTCAGATTCAATACTGCCATGCCATCCAGCGCGTCTGTTGAGAGGGTTTTCAGCGTAGCAGCAGACATATTCACAAGAAACAGTGGGAAAATGAGTGACACAAACTCTGAACGACAACTCTTGCTTAAGCTTAACAAGATTTAAAACCCCCTCCGCTCCCCCCCCCCCCCCCCCCCTCCCAAACTGACGAACACCCATATCATTAAACGTCTTCAAAGGAATTCTACCCGTGCCCGCATTGTGAAGGTGCAACGACCACGAAGAGGGAACCAGTTTTTTCTTCTTCAATA